GGTTTTTCTGTCTGTCTTTGTCGGTTCGTCTTTTGTTGTTGACTGTGTTCACCGGTGAGTGTTCTGTCTGTCCAAGTTCTATTTCGGTATCCTTGAAATAAAGGTGTATCAGTTTAATCTGCATTTGGGTCCTGCTTCCTTCGCTCTACCGTGACAGAACGAACCGACCAAGAATGGACCCAGCATGCTTGAGGAATGACTTTAGATATGCCTCCAGTACTGAAGAGAGGCAGTCAGTTATTTCTGCGGCACGCCAGGAGGTAACCTCAAGGCCCTGGTTGAGGGAGTTGCTCCCCGAGTGGGTGGAGGACTTTTTGGGCAGCTTTGAGGTCAAACCTCTTTCCCGGCCTGCTAGCTCCAGGCATGCTAGCCCCCTGCCTCCCAATTCCTAACCTGACACCATACGTCTCGGTGTGTTCCGTCTGGAGTCAACCTCTGCTTTTTCCCCAGTTCCTGGAACTCTGGCTTATGGAGGTCCACAGAGTATTCAGGCGGCTGCTAAGAGGAGTCGTCGCAAGGCCAGGCTAGCAGCCCGAGCAGCCATGGATCCGGCTACAGAACCGGCCCACACAGCCATGGTTTCAGACCAAGTTCTGGCCCCAGCAGCCATGGATTCGGCTCCAGAACCTGACCTTACAGCCATTTTTCCGGCTCCAGAACCGGACCTTACAGCCATGTTTCCGGCTCCAGAACCGGACCTTACAGCCATGTTTCCGGCTTCAGAACCGGACCTTACAGCCATGATTCTGGCTTCAATTCCGGCTCCAGAGCCGGACCTTACAGCCAGGTTTCCGGCTTCAGAACCGGACCTTACAGCCATGATTCTGGCTTCAATTCCGGCTCCAGAACCGGACCTTACAGCCAGGTTTCCGGCTTCAGAACCGGACCTTACAGCCATGATTCTGGCTTCAATTCCGGCTCCAGAACCGGACCTTACAGCCATGTTTCCGGCTCCAGAACCGGACCTTACAGCCATGATTCTGGCTTCAATTCCGGCCCCCGCAGCCATGGTTCCAGACCCAGCTCTTGCCCCAGCTGCCATAGTCCCATCTCTGGTCCCCTCTCTAGTCTCTTCTCGAGTTCCCCCTCTAGTCCCTTCCCAAGTCCCTTCTCAGGTCACTTCTCTAGTCCCATCTCCAGTTCCCTCTCGAGTTCCCTCTCCAGTTCCCTCTCGAGTCCCCTGTCGAGTCCCCTCTCCAGTCCCATCTCAAGTGCCCTCTCGAGTCTCCTCTCAAGTCACCCCTCGAGTCCCCTCTCCAGTTCCCTCCTCTAGTCCCTCCTTTAGTCCCTCCTCGAGTCCCTCTCTAGTTCCCCTCTCAAGTCCCCTCTCGAGTTCCCTTCTCTAGTTCCTCCTCTAGTACCTCCTCAGCTCACTTCTCTAGTCCCTTCTCTAGTCCATTCTCAAGTCCTTTCTCTAGTCCCAACTCTAGTCCCATCTCAAGTCCCCTCTCGAGTCCCCTCTCGAGTTCCCTCTCCAGTCCCAACTCAAGTCCCTACTGAAGTGCCGTTGGAGGTTCCGCTGGGGCTCCTGCCAACTCCATGTTCTGTCCCGTTGGGGGTCCCGCCGACTACTCTCCTGCCGGGGGTCCTGCCAACCCTACGTCCTGTGCCGATGGAGGTTCTGCTGGGGGTCCTGCCGGCTCCATGTCCAGTCCCGTTGGAGGTCCCGCCGACTACTCTTCTGCCGGGGGTCCTGCCAACCCCTTGTCCTGTCCCGTTGGAGGTCCCGCCGTCTACTCTCCTGCCGGGGGTCCTGCCAGCTCCTTGTCCTGTCTCGTTGGAGGCCCCGCCGACTACGCTCCTGTCGGGGGTCCTGCCAACCACTTGTCCTGTCCCATTGGAGGTCCCGCCGTCTACTCTCCTGCCGGGGGTCCTGCCAACCCCTTGTCCTGTCCCGTTGGAGGTCCCGCCGTCTACTCTCCTGCCAGGGGTACTGCCAGCTCCTTGTCCTGTCTCATTGGAGGTCCCGCCGACTACTCTCCTGCCGGGGGTCCTGCCAACCCTATGTCCTGTCCCGTTGGAGGTCCTGCCGTCTACTCTCCTGCTGGGGGTCCTGCCAACCCCTTGTCCTGTTCCGTTGGAGGCCCCGCCATCCTCTGTCTCGCCGGGGGTCCTGCCAATCCCGTGTCCTGGTCCTCTTCCGTGGGGGATCCTGCCGAGGCCTGTCCCACCAGCTCCGGTTCCTGTCCGGCCGACACCGGGTCCTCCCCGGCCTCCGGAGCTCTCTGGTCTGCGCCCTCGAGCCCGACCCCCTGAGAGCCGCGGTCTTCGCCCTCGATCCAGGCCCCCTGTGAGCCGTAGTCTTCGCCCTCGAGCCCGGCCCCCTGAGAGCCGCGGTCTTCGCCCTCGGTCCCGGCCCTCTGTGACCCGTGGTCTTCGCCCGCGAGCCCGGCCCCCTGACTCTTCCTGCCGCTGCCCTCGTCCTCGAGCCCGGCCCCCTGACTCTTCCTGCCGCTGCCTTCGCCCTCATGCTCGGCCGCCCGAGTTCCCCACCTTAGACTCTGCCTTGCCCCCGGGCCGTCCGCTCGAATCCCCCTTTTTGAACTCTGCCTTGCCCCCGGGCCATCCGCCCGAGATCCCTTCCTGGTCCCCTCTATTGTGCCTCTGGGCGGTCAGCTCAGTCCTGTCCTCCTGACCCCGTCCACCCACCCTGGTGGCCTAGTGATACGTCCCTCCTCCTGACCCCCTCCACCCACCCTGCTTGAGGTGTTGGACTTTTTTTTTTTTTTTTGGGACGTCTGGGATCCGTCCCTTGAGGGGGGGGTACTGTCACGATCTGTCTTTGTGGTGTTTTGTCTTGTCTATATCTGTTTTTGGTTTTCTGTCTGTCTGCGTTGTGTTTTGTCTTGTTTGGATCTGTCTGTGGTTCCCTGTCGTTAGTTTCCCTGGTGTGTCTGATTACCCGATTGTGTTCACCTGTGGCCTTTGTGTTTTCTCCTCCCTCCTCACATGTGTCTTGTTTGTGAGATTAGTCTTGTGTGTATTTAAGTTCTGGTTTTTCTGTCTGTCTTTGTCGGTTCGTCTTTTGTTGTTGACTGTGTTCACCGGTGAGTGTTCTGTCTGTCCAAGTTCTATTTCGGTATCCTTGAAATAAAGGTGTATCAGTTTAATCTGCATTTTGGTCCTGCTTCCTTCGCTCTACCGTGACACCGTCCTCGTCCGATCCACCACTCGCACTCCATCGTTATTGTAGTCCACAGGGAACCCGAAATGTTCCCACACAGCTGATTTAAAAGAAGCAGGTGGGTTCTAGCTCCTGTGTGTTATCTGAAATCGCCATACTAACTTTTCTTCTTCTTCATTTGTTGTTTAAGGGCGGCTGGCAAACAGCTTTTAGGCGCAATACCGCCCCCTGGATTATAAATAGTGTAGTGGATACTGCCCTGAATGACAGACTTTTTTCCCACTCGTAAAAAAAAGGCGTATTCGTTGTGTGACTGCATGTGCCGAACCGCGACGTCCGAACCGTGACGGTACGGGACGAATACGGATACCGTTACACCCCTACCGGATTGTGATGATTGGAAAAACTGGAGCTGGGAAGAGCGCCACAGGAAACACCATTTTGGGAAAAGAGTACTTTAAATCAGAGTTTTCTTTTGAATCTCTGACTAAAGACTGTGCTAAGGCCTTTGGTGTAGTGGAGGGACAAAAGGTTGCTGTCATTGGCCTTCCAGGTCTGTTTGACACCAGAACTGATGAAAAAAAGACCAGAAACGATGTTGGCCAGAGCATTTCTTATGCTTCACATGGACCTCATGTCTTCCTGGTCGTCATCAGACTGGGCAGATTCACAGATGAAGAAAACCAGACAGTGAAGAAGATTCAGGAAATCTTTGGAAAAGATGCAGACAGATACAGCATGGTTCTCTTTACCCACGGTAATCTGCTCAAAGGAACACCTATCGAAGAGTTCCTGAAACACAGCAAAGTGCTGCAGGAACTTGTGGCCAGATGTAACGGGCAGTACCACGTCTTCAATAATGAGATGGAGGATCGTTCTCAGGTCAGAGAGCTGCTCGACAAGATCAGAAACATAGCAGAGAAGAACGGAGGAAGTTATTACACCAATGAAATGTTCCAGAAGGTAGAGAGGGCCATAGAAGAGGAAACACAGAGAATCCTTAAAGAGAGAGAAGAGGAAATGTGAAAAGAGAAGGAGGAAATGCAGAAGAATATATCGGAAAAGTATGAGCAACTAATGAAGGAAATGAAAGATGACAGAAGAGGTTTCTCAATACTCTAATTTCCCCTCCTCGACTCCTCGGTCCTCCGGTAGTGACCCGGATATGGATTTCAGCGCACCATGTTGAAGGACATCTATTTTCTCTAAATGCACATCGAGGATCGAGGATCGAGGAGGCTCTCTGGAGGAGCTCTAACCGAGGAGACACTGATGGTTCCTCCACGACTCCTCCGCGGATGCATTTCCGGGAACGGTGGAGGCGTGACTCACGGCCGGACTTATCTCAGCCAATGACAGCTCTGCATGCATCCCCTGGATATTATTTTAGTAACTGCTTTCATCGCGATGAGAGAGAACAGCTGTGAGGTCCGTGCAGAAAGCAGAAAAATGTGTATAATATATATCATGGTAACTGGCATCCCTAGCATTAGACCCATGTCGTCGCACGCATCTCTGCATTTAAAATTCGAATTCTTCTTCTCGCCTACAAAGCCCTTAATGGGCAGGCGCTAGGGCTGTGCAATTAATCGTATTTTAATCGCGATTACGATTATGGCTCGCGACGATTATGAAAACAGCATAATTGACAAAATACGATTATTTTGCTGGGTGCGCTTTCGCCCCTCCCTAAAAGCCCACTCGGCCACGTGGGAGTGACATGTGTTGTGAGTGTTCAGCGCGAGCGAAGATGTCAGAACAAGAGCAGCAACTCGTTAAAAAGAAGGGTACAACTATTTCCACTATTTGGAAGTACTTTGCCATTACATTTCACATGGCTAAAGATATGTGCCCAGTTAGCACTGTTAGCAACCAGGGCTTTAAGCAACTTGTCAACACGTTGGACAAGCGTTACGCGATGCTGTCTCTGTATTATTTCAGCAGGTCTGCGCTGCCTGCGCTATATGACAAATGCCGTGGGGAAGTTGAGAGAGATGTGGCTTCAGCTGACTACTTTGCTACCACAACAGACCTATGGTCTAGCCCAGGGGTGCCCAACCAGTCGATCGCAAGATGTGTCTACAAATAGAACAACAATATTCTGTTTTATCGTTAATGTCCTGTAACATAATCTTCCTGTGCCAAAATAATGCACTTGAACGCATCAAAGCTTTGTGATTGGCCGGCGTCACATGTGTCGGAGCGTGGCTGAGGGTCTTCAGTACAGGTGGCAATATTGTCACCTGCCTGCGCTCATCTCTGAAACCAGACCATGAACAGGCTGGTGTTTCTTGCAAAGCATCTTTAAGAGATGACATGAGCAGCCTTACCAGCATTTGCCATGGTGGCCTACATTTTTTTATTTGGTCTTAAATTGTAGTTCAACATTTATTTCCTGTTACTTCTGGACCATGACGGTGGGCCAGCCTTCAACGTTTAACTGAGTGGAATATGTTGAATATGTTTTACCAAAATGTTGGCTATATGTTAAGGAGTGTTCAGTAGGTTGTGACAGTGCACTGCAACATGTTTGATTTCATTTATTTTGGTCCAATTTATTTGTATTTATCATATTAATAATATATGTTTAGTATGGTTTTGGAAGTGCGCTCCAACATATTTGTTCTTGTTTATTGGTAAAATATTATTTGTTTTAAAGTTCAATAAATGGTCAATGAATAATCGTCAAAATAATCGTGATATCAATTATTGACCCAAATAATCGTGATTATGATTTTTGCCATAATCGCACAGCCCTAGCAGGCGCCATCTTACCTTAAATAACTCATTATACTCATTATACTCATTATAGCTTTTTTGTGCCGCTCCTCCGTTGGCACTCAGTCGTTTTTTCGAGAATTTTTTTAAACTTCATTTTTGATTATTTTAAGATATAATTGACCATTTACTTTACTTTTTTCGTCTTTCCACGGGTGGGGGCGCATGGCAGGCCGCCTATGAGCTCCCAAATTCAGCCTGGAACCTCCGGGAATTGTGGGCTAAGCTCCATAAACTGACAAAGTCACCCAGAAATGTCACTTTTATAGCCCAAACATATATAATACAAATACATTTAAATAGTAAAAGGTACAATTGTGCTCCGAATTACCCGGAATTTGATCTATATAGCCCCATGATAGTGAATAAAAATCATTTTCATGGAAAAAAGTGTTAAAACGCCTGATTAATATGTTCGTAATGATGGCAGCAGGTTCACTGCTGTTAGCAGGGTCTCACACTCACAGGCACCTATGCAGAGATCCAGGGTGATGCACAAGGCTTTTCTACCCAGCAATGAGTCTCTGAAAGCTGAGGAAAGGTGCTTTGAATACAGAGAGAGCACCCAGAGAGAAGCGGGGTGTGAGACTCACACAGAGACACAGAGAGCTCCTTGCAGCACATGGCTCTCCCACCCAGACTGCACCCAGAGGACAGGCTGCTTCACAACACTTTTTAACAAAGGAAAGCAGCTTGAATCGTGGGTACATGAGTGTTAAAAGTGCATTCAACTGTTTTAATTCAAATGCACATTTGACTGCATAAACAGCCGGTCATATGGACAGGAAACTGTCCATTTCGTCCACATTTGACTCATGAAATGTACAAGAAGATAAGTACAGCAGAGTCACTGCTGTTAGCAGGGTCTCACACTCACAGGCACACAGGCAGAGACTCAGTGTGATGCAAATGGCTATTCCACCCAGCAATAAGTCTTTGAAAGCTGGGGAAAAGTGCTGTGAATAGAGGGAGAGAGCAGCCAGAGAGAAGCGGGGTGTGAGAGCCACAGAGCGCACCCAGAGAGATCCTTGCAGCGCATGGCTCTTGCACCCAGACTGCACCCAGAGAACAGGCTGCTTCACAACACTTTACAAGCCAGGAAAAGTGATTTAATCCTGGGTATACATGTTTTAAATAGTCTGATACCTCCAGGGTGCATCACCACATTTTACAAGCCAGGGAAGGTGCCTGAATCCTGGGTAAACATTGTTTAATTGTTTAAGTGGTTTTAAATGTGTGAAACAGTGTTTTGTCACTTTCAAAACTCTCCCGTCATTGACCGGAGAAATTGGGTCGATGTTGTATTCAATCTGACCGTTAATATTCCAGTGAGACGAAGTATGTACATTTACCGGAGTGATCCCATGTTCATTTAGTCCCAAAACCGGAGCATTCCCTCACCCAGTACGGACAGACGTGCAATAGATACCGTGTGTAAATCGAAAAGATAATACATTTACAACATAGGTAGACCAAATGTTTGGAAATGCATGTGTGTATAACAGAGTTGGGTGTAACGCGTTACAAAGTAATATACTTTAGTCGGTGACGGAGTAGTGTAACGCGCTACTTTTATAATTCAGTAATCACACTACAGTTACTAACGCGTTACTTCGTTACTTACTAAAATCAGTCATAATCAAACCTCAACAAGCACCTGCAAAGAACACATGCTAAGGTGAAGCTAACGCACAGCTCTTTGTTGTTTGTTTATATCACGCAGTCTGTTCTTCTTCTCTGTTTTCCGGTTGTTGCCTGTTTTGAATGACGAATACACACTACCGCCGCCTGCTGGTAAGGAGAGTTATTGCCACTCACGCATGCGCAGTTCGTATGTGCTCGGCTGAAGTCTTTGCGGTGTGTTCCAGTCTGGTTCCAGTGCAACACATGGCCAACACGCAGGAGAACACGCCGACGCAACAGCGTGAGCAGAGATAGACTGCAATATACAGATAGCAGGAGATACATTTGAAACTTTAGCAGTCTGCGTGATCTGCCTGCAGGGAGGGGCGGGCCGGCCCTGCGAGTAAAGTAACGAGTAAAGTAACGAGTTACTTTATGTAGAGAGTAACGAAGTAGTGTAATATATTACTTTTTTTTAGTAATGACCCCATCTCTGGTCTATAATAAGAAGATGAATCCACGAGGATGTCAGCAATCTTGTGGGAGCCATCAGGGAAGTAGTATGGTGAGAGTCTGGCAGGACCGCAGAGACAGGTTCAGCCGTGTTTCTTGTCCCGTGATTACCCCTCTCTGTATTTAGTCTTGTCTTTCCCTGTGTTCCCCTGTCGGTTCATTGTTTGTCTTTCATGTCTCCCTCCATGTTGGTCACGGTCAGTTTTGTTTGTTAATGCTACTTGTGTTTTTTCGTGCCATGTTTATGTTCATCAGCTTTTAAATAAAGCTCGTTTTTGTTTCTAGACCTTTTACCTTTTTTATAGCATTTGGGTCCTACCTTTTCCGCAAATCTTAACAAAAACCAGAAACACTCGTAATTTGTATTCATGTGGAGTCATTTTCAAACTCTCTGATTCTGAGAAGAGTTTACCTCCTAAAAACTCAAGTTTTATAAAGAGGAATGAGCACGTTAAATAAACAGTATCTCTCAAACAATCAAATATTTAATTAGGAACAAAGTTCGGTGCTGATCCTCTTCCAGGAATGTAGAAAAGCTTGATAACCCCCTCCCAATATTGTTTTATTACATGTTATGCCTGACTGGTGTGAGCTGGCGGTCAAAGGTCCAAGTACGGCTTTGCTAACTGCATGTTGTAAAGTACAGATAACATACTCTGCCTCTCACAAAGCTCCTCTCCGCTGATTCCTCAGTCACTGCTGAAGCTGAACCAGAGCAGAGCACACATCGTTTCTGTTCAGGGAAAATATTTGACGGTCATTAACCAGAGAGGTGAAATGGCGCAGCGAGGAAATCAACTCGACCAAGACATCATCTGCTGTTCGATCTGTCTGGATCTACTGAAGGACCCGGTGACTATCCCCTGTGGACACAGCTACTGCATGGACTGTATCAAACACCACTGGGATGGAGAGCGAATCCACAGCTGCCCTCAGTGCAGGTAGAGCGTCACACCGAGGCCTGTCCTGCTGAAGAACACCATGTTAGCAGCTTTAGTGGAGGAGCTGAAGAAGACTGGACCCCCAGCTGCTCCTGCTGATCTCTGCTATGCTGGAGCTGAAGATGTGTCCTGTGATGTCTGCACTGGGAGGAAACTGAGAGCCTTCAAGTC